GTACTGCCGCTGTTGTGCTGCTCCCCAGTTTAAAATGCATGTCCAGTATCTGTGAATGTCATCCATTTTCCATTTGTCGTTTTGATACTAGCCTTGAAATCAAGATTAGACATAAGACCTATTTATCAGATTTAACCAACGCTGACACATTGTGTACTAAAGGGGGCCCCTGTACAATTCATGAAGAAGCTTGAGTTTTCAGCCCTTAAATATCACACTTCAATGAGTCTAACTGACCAAAGTTTTTACTTCATATTTTTTACTTAAATGTGTTCTTTTTGTGGATCACTATACTTCTGACTTACTAATGTATTTACATAACAGAATAAAACGTGCTTCTTTGCCTGTGGTCAGCCAACGTGTTTACTGGAGAAAAAATAATTTTGATGGCAGTTGCAAACAAGCTCAAATGTCTGCCTTTATTTCAGGATTTCTGTAATCATTAACTGCAGTTATGCAGTGCCGTTCACCCCAAAGTGGATTACATGTTGGGGCGAACCCACCCCAGGTCCAGAGAGTAGTGTGTCAAATACTAGTCCCCTATTTAATATAGTGTCAGACTTTCCCCTGTCACTCTTTAGCTCAGTTTAAGATGCTCTCTCTGGCCGTACAGCAACTTGTGCAGCAGCTGAGTGATTTTGTCAAGTTGCTTGTGCGCGCAGCGTGTTCACGGTGGCCACCCAAGCCATTTCCAGTCCACTGCTGTGGTTCCCAAACTGACACTTGGAACAGGGCTCTGGAGTACAGAACGATGCAGAATTTCAAGAACATTTCAGCCCCCCCAAAAAACGAGTCTGAAGGATAAAAACTCACAACTGAAAGAGATCAGAGAGATGTTCCGCTCTTTTGCTGTAGTATTACTGGTTTGTATCAGCTGGAAGGACATGACAGTGATGAAGAGCAAGCAGGGGGCCCAGCCTGGATAGCAACAGCCTGTCTGTTTAGAGTAAGATGTAGCTGCTGCTGCTGGAGACGCACACATGCTTCAGGCGGTCCTTCTCTGTGCTCCTGCAGAGAAGGCATCTGCTTGGTCCTGCCTGGCCCCGTTTCTGACTGCTGGAGGTCGGGCGTTTTAAGAAACCTTGACAGAAGTCTGCTCGGCCCTGTAAAGTATAGCAACATGCGTTGATGTATTACCGTGTCGTTGCAGGTCTGAATCGCCAAGCCGTCGGCTGCTTTAGTTTAGACTCTATAAAATATCGATCGGGCACACACCAAACGTAAGGTCGGAGATCTCAAATGGATCAAACTGTAATACAGTGGGACTCTAATCCATCGAGAAAGTGAAGTGTGCAGTATTTGTGTAGCTCATTTCTGAACAGGGATTGCAGAGCTATTTTGTGTCCTTTCAACTGATAGGGAAGAGTGAAATGGCTGGGGTACGCGGCTTTTGAGTTGCGCCAGGCTGAGAGAAAAGCACTTTTAATGGCTACTTCACACTTCAGGAAACAAAAGGGACCTCAGAAGAATCAATATAAGCGCCCTTAAGACCAAAAAAAAGGTGATGGGATCACAGACGTCAAAGTCATTTACTGTTCTTACGTCCCACGCTGAAAGGTTGGTGCTCAATGACCCCCCCCTCTCTTAAATAAGCAGTATTGTCATGGCAGCGTGTCTTACCCACTGGAGGAAGCCCAAGACTAAAAGCAGTCCAGCACAGCGCTCAGTCTGGATCCACTGCTTTCTGCTCATCTCTCGGCTCAGGCTCCAGTGCTAAAGGCATGCAGCCACCTGGGCTGTCTGAGGAATAATGTTCTGAGTGAAGTCTCCCTAGATCTCATCAGGGGGAGGGCTCTTTGTGGGTCTGGTGCACAGTGCTCATTATCTCCGAGTTGCTGTTCATTACTGCTCTAGTTCCAGGGCACAGACCCTGGGGTTGGATTTTTTTTTAGATTCATCTCCATGCACAAGCCTTCTTGTTTTCAGTCTGTGGAACCTCTTGAGGGAGACTGGTCTGTCTGTTTTTTTATTTTTTGATGGAACTCCTCTGGATCCTTGCTTGTAGATGTAATGTGTATTGTTTTATTTTTTTCGCGAGACTATATTTTCTGGTTGCAATAGTCCGTTAAATTTCACTCTCGTGCAGTAACAGGGCGTCCCTTCGCCAGAGCTGTCTTCCATTCTTCCACTTGGTTCATGGGAGTCGAAATAAAATAAAATATAAAATATAAAAAAAAAGTGAAGGGTAATACAGGGAGTTAATCGCAACTTTGTAACATAGCAGTTTGATCTCATTGAGGTCTCGCTCATACAGCCTGCAGGCGTTTATGTAAGTCATTATCATGTACTAGATACTGTATTTTCAGTCAGCTTATCTTGAGTAGATGTTCATAGGCATGTTTGAAGTTTAAAGAGTATTGAATGTGTTTAGCTTCTGCACTCATCATTACAGTTATAGTTTCTGCAAGAACCTCAAGCTTGTGGAGACCTGAAGTTGGCAGTGCAATATCAGGTCTCTTTCTTTGTGGTAGAAACCAAGTGTTGGGTTTTAATTCAAGTTGCCTTTCCATTTTCTTCCATAAACCTGTTTCCAGTTTCTAGTCCACCTGCAATCGGCATTTATTTTACAAAATGTCCAAACTTTAAATAAATAAAAATATAACGATTTCCTCATCAACCTTTTGTTATAACCATATGAAAAAGGCAATTACCACCATCGTCAGTTTTAACATTTCTTATTGCTTCGATAAAATGGCTGCAAATCACAGTTACAGATTCCAGTTTATACCATTAAATTGTCCTGTCAACCCTTGTACCCCCAGAATACTCCATCAATAGATAAGTTCCCATTGTTTTTTTGTACATTCCTTTCATTAATTAATTATATCATATTGATTATACTAATTATTATATTAATTCAAAATATAAAATAGGAAGAAAAGTGGGAAAACAAAGAATTTATTCTGGCCCTGAGAGCTGAGTGGAAAAAACGGTCTTCCCTGGCACTTTGGATTTGTTACCCTTGTTTTGTGTTCAGTTCTTTCTCTCTGATGTCACAAGGTTAATTATCGTAATGACTTTGCGGCACTAATAAAATTACGCTGTTCTTTCAATTATGAAGTGACACCAGAGATTAATCTGCAGTTCTGTACTGGAAATTCAGATTTTCCTTTTTCTTTTTTCTACCACCATCTAGGTCATATTTTTTTTTCAAAATCTGGGGATGTTAATAATTGCAGTCTACCCCAGTTTCCGTTTTTTTTTGTTTTGTGCTAGTAATGTGGTTTGAGAATGAGAATCAGTCTCGGGTTGTCCTGAAGATCTAAACAGACATCCAGCTATAGGAATCACACTCACTTGAAGAAGGCTCCACAGCCAAAACGTGGTGTCTCTTTCCTTTTCCTTTCAGCTGGGAATAAACCTTTACCTGTTCCTATCCAGCTATGGATCCCTTTTGGAACTGCATTCATGGAGTTGTGACTTCAGTTATGTATGTGCAGTCTTAACACAAAGTCTGCTTTCAGTAGCTGTAGGTTTTTGGCCAGGCAGGGTGGTATCTTTATAAACCCCCAGGCATACATAGGCCATTTCCGCCTGGAAGGATGTTCCCTTAAAAATCTTGCATTATCCTTAAAAGTATAGACAGCACAGGCCTGACTCGGGACTTGAATTCCAGGTAAATGCAGAGCTTTTCTCAATTTGAGCCCGTTCTTATTAACACTAATCCCTCGGTTTAACAGTCCAATGGGAGTGAAGGGCTGTCCATTATTGTTGAAAGTCTGTTAGGAATGATGTTTTCAGGCCCCCCAAAAACACTTTTGTGCGATAATTTTTTAAAATATATATATAGTGTATATGCTTTCTGGATCTTTTGACTTATTAACAATTGCAATCAACATAATTGAAAATGGAAAATGTTTGTGTGCCTTTTGATTATGAATATACAGCCCTTTTATTTAATGTGCCATAAATATACTGTATAGCATTTGCTAAAGCCTACAGGATACCATTGATATTCCTCAATTTTAAGCCTTTGTAGTATTTATTCTTGCATTTAATTGTTATTGTGGGGAAAGTCTACCACAGCTGACTTTACAATATTTCGTATAAATTCAAAGTCTATTAAAGTGAAGTCCGTTAAACTGAGGGTTTAAAGAACTTAGTTTCTGAATCCCGAGCCTATCATTCTGTTTAAAGATTTCAGGTCCAGTCTTGAGGCCGATTCTGTGCTCTCTGTTTTGAGAAGAGAGTTTCTCTGTGGTCTCTCCTCATTTATGTGGAGGACCGGAAACATATTCACATTCTTTCTGAAATAATAAAGAAGGAATAATGTTCTTTTTCTTACCATCTGATTTAATTTTCAGAGGACGCCTTAAGGAAAACAAATGTATCTTGTTGATTTCTGAACTGGTGTATTTCTCACAGTGAGTGAGATTTTTTTCCCCATTCACTGTCTATTTTTACACACACTATAATCTCCTGACTGTTCTGGAATATTAATTGTATTACACCCAGGATGTGGCTGTTCCATAATTTCTCTTTATTGGTTTTCTTTTTGTATGGGTGTTAAATTAGCTGATCTTTGCAAACCAAACCCAGTAAAGTAATGTCGGTGCCAAAAAAGGCTTTTGCAGTTTTTACCACAAAACATAAATATTCATTAGCTTAAAAGTTTTGGTGAAATGAGACACACTCCTCAACTGAAAGGTTCAGTTATTGACTGATCCAGTCTTACCCTTTCATATAGTATTAGCATCACATGAACCTACTCTATTGGGATCAATCTGAATTTCTTCAATTTACACATTACACATTTACATTGTAATGCAGTGCATTTCTGTGATTTGAAAATCCAATTTTATCCTGCTTTTTTATTATTATAAATCCAAGTTAAGCACCTTGGATAAAGTCATCAAATATTGACACCATAAAAGATGCAGTTTGAGCTGTGAGCTGGACAATCCGGTCTTTCTGACCTGGTTGGCGTCTTGTGGTTGTCCTGCCCAAAGCTTTTTTTCTGTCCAGCACCATAACCCAGATATCCGTTTGGTGTTTTGCAGGCTTTCAAGGAGATGCTGTATGCGGCTCAGGACCAGGCCCCATCCATAGAAGGTAAGGAAATGCCCGGTGGCAGGTCAACAACAAGCCATGCAGCCCATCCCCGAAATAAACCAGGGCTATATATAGGGAAATCGCTGAGATCCAGCCACTTTTGGGACAGCCCAACACACGAGCCTTTATTGCTGTAGCTGCCAGGAAATTTCACTGGTTGCTGAGACAAGGGCTGGGGCTATAATTAATGTGAAGTGTCACTCCTCACCAATGCGTTTCCTTGAACAAGCTTTAATCTTGTGCCTCTTTGCCGTGCTGGGGAGGGAAAGAAGCAACAAAAAAGGTCTTGAAATCCATTGTCCAGCTGTTTGGGCCTTGGGAGACTGATCCCACAGTTTTTAGCATTTTTGCTTGCTTAGATTTGTCATGATGGGGCTCTGTTAATGTTCCTGTTGATTCTGACTGAATTCTTAGATAATAAAGGTGTGGAACAGTTTCATGGGCTCATCTCACACTAGAGACCTTCTGATGGATTCAATCAGAGAAATGCATGCTGGTGCGGTGCTGCTAATGTTGTTTTGGGGCTGAAGGAAGCTATGCTTTCTCACAGAGCAGTGAGATGCATCTGGTATGAATAGTGAAGTCGGCTTCTTGCAGGAAAGGTCACATGCAGCGGCTCGTGTCAGGCAAATGTTTTTTCCAGACAGCGGTTCGTGTGTGCGTGCGTGTGTGTGTGTGAGTGGAGCGACGCAGGTTATTTAAAAGCACTGTTCCCATGAGATACAAAGTTGGTCATCCCCTTTGTTTCCATTTTCTGATTCTGCGTTGAGGAAAAAAGAAAAATATGCAAGAAAGCCCACTTTTCTGAAGCAGCCGAGCCCAGTCACCTGCTGCCTGCTTTTGAGCCACCGACCCAGCCCACGTGTTTTAAGGGTGTTTGCAAGATGGTTATAGTGGAGTACATTCAGCTCAGTTGAAAGCTCGCACGCTGGAAATTGACCCTGATCACCAAGGCTGGAGGCAATTGAATGAAATCCTGCAGCAAAGTCTGGATCTCGGCTGGGTGAATCATGTTGACAGCTCCTGATGAAGTGTCCTAAGTGGTCTCTGGAGCTACAGAATGGGGGAGCATGGGATCTGGGTGACTTGGGTTTCCCAGTGCTACAGGTGGTGGAGCTTTCATGTCTGAATCGGTACTGTTTGATCTGGACTTACTTGGGTGCTGTTTGAACCTGGTGGAACAGCGCCATACTCTCCTAGACCCATATGCTTTGAGAGAAATTCTGAAGATTAGGATAATGATTATAGCATATTTGTTGTTTTAAATGCCCTCATTTCGTAATCCTTACCCACAAAAGTAATGAAGTTAATAATGGTAGCTTGGAGCTCACGGCAAAGCTCTCTTGACAGAGCTTGTCAATGAATTAATAACTTTAAGAATTTATGAGAACAGGTCATGGTTCTGACCTTTAAGCTTTTAAGCCTTGTTCTGTAGGCAGAGCTGGACCTTTCTGTTTGTGGAAAATTGTTGTTTTGTTTCCGTGTAGCTAAGTGGAAAGTGCTTAATCATCACTGGACATGCAGACCTGCACATACATCATAGTGAAAGGATTTGCATGTCTGAGAGATAAAATATACTTTATGAGGAAGGATTCTGGATTTCCACAGCCTGCAGAAACACTGTAATTTGAATTCTTGCTCTAGACTTTGAAATGCATACCGACAAGCCTGTAAAGCTTGTGTGCACAGAGTTGCCTGTGTCTCGTGTTAGGCTTAAACTTTACCCATGACATTAATGCATGGAGCTCTGCAGTGCATTTTGTGCTACGTTTCCAGTGCATGCAAACTGACGGTTTAATTTCTCGCTTCTGTTTTCATAATTTCTTCTGTCCTCTCAAGCTGCTGAGAGATAACAGCAAAGGACATTGCAGAATGCAATTAGTAGGCGTCTGGAAAAAAAACCCGAATTAACGATATTAAGAGGGACAAAACAGGCAAATATGAAAAACAGCTCTTTTATAAATCCTTATATTAACATCATGGTCTGTCCAGGCGTGATGCTGAGTGAATCTGAATGTGTTTAGTTTGGGGAACTGATTCCCTGCTCTGTGAGCATTTGTCTTGGGCTGTCACCTGAAATACAGCAAAGAGCAACAAAGTGGGAGGCTACATCATCAAGTGCAAAGCTTTGCCTCCCCCCATAATGAAATACCGAAGAACATTGATCTTTCTTATCATTGATACAGTATACAAACAAATAAAGTGGAATCGCCGATAAACTTGTTCACCAATAAGATGAATATTGGATCAGGGATATTAGTGATTCAATAAAATGAGTAATATGTTCTTTTCTAATGTGGGCAAAAGGTTTCCTTTTGTTTCTCTGGGCGTCTGGTTTACAATCCCTGCCTTACAGCGTGTCCTACAATAACATGTTGTGTTGCAAAGGTTTGCCGTCATGATGAATGTTCTATTATTACAGCTTTTCGTCCCATTGGTGCGATATTCAGAAACAAACTTGTGCCAGGAGGGGTGCTCTTAAGGGTGAAAATAAATAAAAAGAGGTTTACGGTGTCTCACAAAAAGCCTGTCAAGGAAAAGATCCATTATTTTCATAACCTGTGTTTAACAGATGATGTGCTATTTCCATGCAGCCTGTGCCAACTGTAGCAATTTATTTTAAAAACAGCTTTTTACTTTGTGACAGCGGTTATTATTAGTGTTTATCTGTCAGGTGCAAAAAAACTCCAATCTGGAATTGAGTCGCTTCGGCGCACTCAGATAGGATGTGGGGTGGGGGGTATCTGGGGTGATACGGGCTGAGCTCACAGGTGGGCTATATGATTTGACAAGATGCCTTCTGAACCACCCACTGTTTATAATGCAGAAATGAAAAGCTGAGGTCTGATATCGTTGAACTAGGATTATCCTTTATAAAACTGTAAATAGAACAACCATTAGACATTGGTGAGACGCATAGTTTTTTTGCCCGGCGAGTTGCAACACGTATTTGTATAAGCATTTAAAATTTAAAACCTAGTCATTAGGAGATTTCTTCTTCATAGTGTAATAATAGCTTATTTTTTCCGAGAGTTAGTTAGCATTGCAGTGGGTGTGGCTGTGTGATAGAGCTACTGTACCTTCACCCTGATTAAACTGTTTTTGTTCCTGCTGAGGCTGCAGTCAAAGCCGTCTGCCACTGCAACGCTTGTGGCTTCCCTGTAGCCCAGGCGTCCTGTTCGGGATGAGGTCAGATTCGCTGCTGCGTCCGGGAAGACTCACGGGGATCTCTGGTGTTCAGCACAACATTCCCTGTTTTGAGCGACAGCGCGGGCTAGCCTCTTGCTGCTTGAGGGTTCAGATTGCCAGACCATAAATGCAGGTGTTTCAGCTGACTAGACAGATGAGTGATTGTAGGAAGGTCGATGGGCCGTTCATCATTGTCAGCTTAGTGACTCACGTCAGGCAGCAGCTCATGATGCTGACAATGTGTGGCTGAAGAGTTTTTAATTTAGTCGTTTCTAAAATTTACCACTTTCTGCATTTACATTTCTGATGTTTTTTTTCCAATGTGCTAATATGCTTTTGTTTTTATCTAGTGTAAGAAAGCTTATTCTAACCTATAGATGCTCCAGTTCTCCTGGACCGCAGTTTTTATTGGTCTCTTTAAAATGTAAGGTAAATGTAAAATGTAAGCTGATAATTAGTCATTTTTTTAGAGCTGAGATGCAATGAAAATACAGTAGTTTAAAATATATGTATAATCCAGGTGGATACAACAAGTTTGGAACAGGGTGAACATATTGTAGACTGGCTTCAAACCACATGGCCCAGATAGAGACAGGCAATTCACTGTGTGTCACTCAGTCAAGCAAGGGACTGTGGAAGTGTGGAACTAGCTATCCAACCATGCTGTTAAAGCTGATACTCTGGGATCTTTCAAGAAACAGCTGGATGTGATAAATTGTTCTTATGTTGTTCTGTAATTTCTAAAAAATTGTAGGCTTATCTTTTTATTAACTGAAAGGCTGGATGTTGTGTAAAAGGGGATGTCAGAAACCTTAAAGTAGCACAACTGAACTCGGGTTCTTAGTGAAATTACTACTAAGAGGGGTAACTTAATTTTCTCTACTTAAGTAACATCTTGTATATACATTTCATATACAGTAAATAATGATTTTTATACTTGTAGAATTTCTTTCTGCGGTTATTTTCCGATAAACTTCTGTTTCACCTGGTTTAAGAAGTCATGGATGTTGTGCAACAGCTGGTGCTTAGATAAGGCGTTAGGTGTTTCTTTGGGACTAGTCTGTATCGAGTCGTGCTGTAGAACAAATTATCTCTTTTACATAGAGTAGGTATCTTGTTCTCATGCTTGCACACAGAGTAAATGTCTGAGACATTTTTTGTAAACATCTTCACCATGGTCTCCTTATCACATCCTAGCTGTGCTTTACATAAATTGTGCTTGACAGCACCTACAAATCGTCCCACCTTACTCTGACAAAGCAACCAGCTCGTCTCTTGTTTGTGAGCTGCGTCCCCTTGCTGTGCATGACAACCTTCAATTCTTTGAAGTCTGCTCAGCTGGGAGAGACTTGAAGGCCAGAAAGCACGACCAGCAGGGGTGAGTTGGATTACTATAGGTGCATTCTGATCGCCCTTTTCCTGAGGTGCAGTAGAGACAAACACACGCATGCAGACGTGCGTCTCAACAGCTTGTGGCTGCTACGCTGTAATCTCTTGTCAGACACAGTTGAGTTAATGTGATGATTTTATTCATCATCCCCAATGAGGGAGTAATTATGTGGATAGCTGGAGTAAATCGGGAGGGTTTTATGACTGCCAGCGAACGGTTTGGATTTAAATTCTGTAGATATCCCCATGCCCCAGGGAGGCAATTTACTGCGTTATGGCAGCTCCTCACACTGACCTTCTTGCTGATGCAGCTGTGGAATTTCACCGCCAATGGGGGATCATTTGTTCAAAGACTCGGGCTAGTTCTCCGTACACCAGATCGGCAGTTTCCAAACCCCTCCCCTCGTCTCGGGGAAAAGTCC